CCCGGTCCAGGAGGATCCCACGTGCCACGGAGCGGCTGGGCCTGTGAACCATGGCCGCTGAGCCTGCGCGTCCGGAGCCTGTGTTCTGCAGCGGGAGAGGCCGCAGCAGTGAGAGGCCCGCATACCGAAATAAAAAAAAAAAAAAAAAAAAAAAAAAAAAAAGGCACCCCTATTTAAACCCACGGGAGAACCTAACACACACAACAACTGTAGGATCTGGGCAGATGATAAAAAAGATAATTTACTGGATATATTTTAAAACCAAGGAAAATCAAGAAACTGACTAAAAAGAAAAAGAAATTTCAGAAGACAGACTTACCTACATGTACAAGATTGGCTCAAGTCAATGAGTCTAACACATGCCGACAGCACAGAGCAGGAAGCATGTTCTTCCTGTTCGAGCCATTCAAATATCAACCTGCATAACATTTACATGAAAATCCGTGGTCCAGCCCATTTGCTTTTGAGAGTAAAAGTCTAACGTAGGGTGGGGTAGCTAAGGTACTCATGGAACAAAGGGAGACATTCTCCCACGGGCTAGATCAGCAAATGCAGGATGCACACACACATATTCTCTCTCTCTCTCTCTCTCTCTCACACACACACACACACACACACACACACACACACAGCAGTATTATTTTAATATTTAGATAGAAAATATGAAGAACAATAAGAAATAACTTCTAAGATATTAGTAAGGGCAATTAACAGGCCTAGATAATCTGCCAGGGTTACTCTTCTAGATGAAGTGCTATTTCATCCATAGATTTTTATGATCAGAAACGCTTCCACTAATAAACATTCATGCTACCGATGTAATTTTTACTTTTAGATCCATTTTAGACAATTGACGTTACTCAAATAAACTAATATGATTTTCTGAGAAAAGAAGAAAAACCGAACAAAACGAGTCTATATAGACTTATTTTATTCTAACTTAAAAAAAAAAAAATGCCCTTGACTTGAAGTTGGTTTCAATATTCTAAAAAGAAAAGAATGTAAAATTAAACATCAAAAGATTACAACTGTTATAACCTAAATAAAACGAAATTCCTTCACAAGTTTTTTTTTTTTTTTTTTTTTTTTTTGCAATTTCTAACTAAAAGGACACCACACCTTCAGATCCACAGGACACACCCACCAACTTCTACATGTCCCAGTTTTGCAACTGGCAATGTTATTTATTCTCCAAGTTTATTAAAGCTGCACCCACGCACAGCTTGAGAGAACAGGACATACAATGGCCAGAAAATCTGAGATACTTTAAAACTGATTCTGTCCTTTGCCTCATAAATCACCTCCTCCTAGTGATAGTATATCTTAGGCAAAAACATGTAATGACATGAAGGAGACCTCAAAGGGATGGCAAAGCACTTAATATTTAGTGTATGTGATTTTTTTCAACAGCCAAAGAGAAAACAGAAATTCATCTTCCTATCCTCTGACCTGTGTCCTCTGAGCTTCACACGGCTGATAATTCTGATTCTGGGTGATAGTTACAGTTGCTATTTTCTGAGTGTTTACTATGAACCAGGTACTTTATATATGTTATAAAGTGTCTTGTTGGGGTCAAATCTGAGGTTGGAGTAGGTAGAGGGGAGAATGAGTTTCATTGTCATGTAATTTTCATGAAGCTTCTTAATTCTTGGAGTGTTTGGGGACAAACAAAGGTACCTAATCACAAGTCCAGTTTTGCAAAGTCCCAGAAATCCTTTGGTTGCTCTTCAGACTCAATGGTGGGAGCAGTGAATAAGGAAAGAAAGATTATAAGGAGAGACAACTGAGCCCCAGAGAGAAATTGCCAAGAGTGAGGAAGAACTGAGAAAGTTGGGCCAAATGAACAGCTGGGTCTAGCTATAGAAGGGAGCAGCAATCCTTGATTCAGTGGGAGACTGTGCTACTAGCCAGCCCTGCTGG